ACAGAAATGTCATTGCAAATAACATGAAAAAGGATGAGCATAATTAGGATAGCCCGATTCCCAAAAATAGGGTTTCTGTTCGCATCTTTGTCCATGTAAGTAGAGTTCAACAAAAACAAAATTATGAAAAAAAAAACAATATTAAAGTAATTATGCCAAATTAGACGACACGTTTCGACCATTTTAGACACATATAAGAAAGATCGATATTCCATAGATACAATAAAATTAATTATTAAAGATGAACGGTGGATTCACCACCCGGAGCAATGTGATCTTGGGGTTATCAATTAAGATAACGTTGTTTATACCTAGAACAACATGTGTTCTGCTGACATGAATATCCTATTCTGTTGCCATTGGTGAATAATAGAGAATAAGCAATAACAAAATGTAATGCATGTATCTCCATTAATACATGACATTTTATTACCTAGAATACGTTTTTGCCATTTTGGACATAAACAACCCAAGTAGCAATTGGTATTAATGGCAAAATCTTACTTGTCTTAACCCGATCTAAATTTACACTTAAGCTAAAACCAAATGAACTTAGAATAGAGATTTTTTTCTTTAAGACTTTATATTCTTCATCGAGCGCTACTTAAGCAAATTAAGAATACCCAAAACCAAGTTAAGTATTCTTTAGATAATTTGGTCTTAAGTTATTCTTAGCTTAAGTTAAAAAAAACTTATTTTACTAAATTAAGATTTTTTGTATGCTCACTTAATACTAAATAGTATAGATAAAGTATTATTTAAGTGTTGCAAAGTAAATAAAGTATTCGTAGATTTACTTAGGACTTTTTAAAGACCATTGTCTTAGAAATAGTTTTCTGAAGATTAAGTTAATTACTTTTTGACTAGAATTAGTACATTTTGAGAAAAAATACTCTTAACGGGACGATTTCGATAAAACAGGATCACGCACGCCTATTAATTCAAGGTAATGCACCTGCGTGCGCAGCTTATTGTATTAATTTTTGATACAAAATGCGTGCGGTCGCCCGCAAACTAAATTATGCTATTACTAGCGACCGCCCACGACTTCGTACGCGTGGATCCCGTTTTACCCCCTTCATCTATCTTACGCGGTTTAGATTTTTTCATACAAATGTTTTTTCCCGCTCACTCCCGTTACCGTGAGAATTTTGCAATATCCTGTTGTAACTAAGCTTTAAGTTTACTAAGATACCTGCATGCCAAATTTCAAGCATCTACCTTAAGCGGTTTAGATTTTTTATACAAAAGGATTTTCCCGCTCATTCCCGTTCCCGTGGGAATTTTGCAATTTCCTGTTGTAACTTAGCTTTAAGGGGGTGTCCATTAATTACGTGAGACTTTTAGGGGGGGGGGA